CCCCCCCCGGGTCTCTGATCTCCTGCAATCATCTTCCTGATAACAATGAATTTACTGAGTCAACTTAATGTTATCATTATAATGAAGCCATAGTTTAGGGGCCATGCTTTTTTCAGCTAGTGACCTGGTTGTCCTTTCTACCAGGCCTGCACATGGTAGACAGGACCGCCAGTTCCCTTTTGTGACGTATATATACACTTTGAGTCCTAGAGCGAGCCTCTATACAGCAGGAATAGATTTGAACTCTTAAATGATCCCCAACAAAAATGATCTCCTTGGTTGGTGACATGTGAAAGTTTTTAATTCCATTCTCTGGTTGTATTCATGAAGAAATCACAATCTATGTCAAGTGTACATGTAACAAGAGGAGAAAAATGCACGGTCAGACCGGGGTTTGAACCCGGGACCCCCTGAATTCTAGACGGATGCTCTACCAATTGAGCTATCTGGTCGCCGACGATCGACCCAGTCCAGTTCCACTACACAAGCACTTCTGATGATGTCAATTTATTTGATAGAATAGCTCCAGTACCCCTGTCATGTTACTGGGCTTGGCTGATGTTGCATAGCTGTCAACCCTCCCTCATTAGGACAAAAAATTACCAATAATCCTCGTAACTCCCTCATTAGGACAAAAAAATGCCTATCGTCCTCGGAACTCCCTCATTAGGACAAAAAAATACCAATCATCCTCGGAACTCCCTCATTAGGACAAAAAAATACCAATCATCCTCGAAACTCCCTCATTAGGACAAAAAAATACCAATCATCCTCGGAACTCCCTCATTGTATTCTTTTCCAATTATCATTTCCCTAAATGTGTATTAAGATATTGCAGTATTTTTCTTAAGCTGCAATATGTGTAGTATATCGGATTATGAAAAAAGGTCTTTGCATGGAATTTCAACTTAACTGGGAAGAAATGCAAGTTTTGATATTTTTCTGGTCTTTTTTGGGACCAAACTAATACCCCATTCCCTGTAGGGATTAAAGAATCTTCCTCACAATTGAAAAATAAATCCTAATTTTGAAACAGAAAAATCACAGCTAATTTGTAGAGTAAGACTAGAATGAAAGTTATTTGTTCTACTCATTACTTGAACCATCACGACTATATAATGACCTACCCTTTTCACAGAAATGAGTATTCCACTGCACTTATTTACCCAAACCAGTTTTTTTTTTTATTTCAGAAACACATCCAAACCGCTAGTTTTATAACTTAACTTTATATTTTCTCAGATTGATGATTTACCAGAAGGAGCAGTAAAGCCACCCAAGGGAAAATTTCCTATTTTCTTTTATGGAACACATGAAACGTAAGTAGAAGTCTATCACAACTGGTGGATTGACCAGGTAAGGTGTTGTGAGAACTTTTTTCACCGCAGGATCTTTTCATGGAAATCAAAAAAACATTTCGCAAAATTAAAAATTTCTTGTATATTCTTTAGACAAATCACAGGCATTGATTGCAAAACAGCATCAATAGTATTTTGAAGAAGACAGACTCAGTTTCTGTCTGTTACATACAAATACATGTACACAGATCTCTAAATAACTTTTCTTGGATATCATTGCCTAGATAAGGAAAATATTGGCAATGATTCGGCCAAATAATAAAACCTTGTCCGCTAACCTTACCTACCCTAGATTTTTGTGCCTACCCTTAAGTTTTTATTGGCATTTAGTGATATGCAATGTTCAAGTCAGAACTCATGCTCTATATTACTCCAACAGTGTTAGAGGTTTTACACGGCGAGATACTTTTGACAGGCGCTGCAAAGTCAGCAAAATCATATCCGATAGAAAAAAGGCCGACCAGCAGCCTCTTATGTTAAAGGAGTAGCTCTATATAAGCTCACTGAGTCTGTGACATTTTTTTTAAATAAACAAAATAACTTACCTATATAGCTACCTACCCTTTTTTGCTGAGGATGATGGTGGACACACAAATGATGTTTTTTTGCCTAAAGTTATGAACTGTCACCTTTGACTGTCAGAAATCTCAAGTTGTTGGTATTTTTTTGTAGTGCCTTCCTTGCACCAAAGGATGTATTTCCTTATGAAGCAAACAAGGAAAGGTATGCAGTATTAAAGAAAATCAAAGGGTTCAATGAGGGCTTATGGGAGATCACAAACAACCCCAACGTCAAGTTTCAGGGAGCAGTGAGTATAAATAGGGATTGAACAGTGTTTAAAAAAAAATCATGCCAGTATGAATGCAAATCTGTTACATCAACATGGCATGAAGTCCTTTAAATGACAATGGCAAAACAGCCCTATTTAAAGGAAATAGGGGCCAATAATTTACCGTAGTCATTTGAGCGTTTCACACAGGGGCTTTTTCCATGTTATCCGAAGCGAACCGACAAGACTCATTGAACAAGGTTAGTCTATGACGTCATAAGTAACCCATGTGTTACGTCACAAGAGTTTTTGCTTTCAAACTCAAATGAAATACATTACCACTGGTGATGTTCATATAATAGGTTGCAGCGCAAATTATGGAGATTTCTTTTTATTAAAAACATACATTATAGAGATCGATATAATATGTCCTCAATGTAGGATGAATTTTGTTCAACATACAATTTTCATTCAATATTTACAGACTATAGATAAAGATTCATACCCGAGTAAACATTCACACATTTTGTTTATGTTAACCCTTTCACCCCTATGTAACTTTAGTAGACTCTACAATGCATTGATCTGGATGAGTCCATTATGGTCTACAGTGGTGAAAGGGTTAATATACGTTGCACATAAAGATGTTAAAGAATAATATCCTATAGAAGTTGTCCAGGAACATACATTGTACAAACTGTCATATCCTTATGTAACAGAGGTCATTTTTTAGCTCACCTGGCACAAAGTGCCAAGTGAGCTTATGCCGTGGCGCGCGTCCGGCGTCCGGTGTCAATATTTTACTTTAAACGACTTCTTCTTAATAACCGAAAGGCCTAGGGTGTCGATATTTGGCCAGAAGCAAACTTGGATGAAGGGCTACAAAGTTTGTTAAAATTAATGACCTTCACCTATATCAAGGTCGCAGGGGTCAAATATGTCAAAAACTTTAAACATCTTCTTCTCAATAACCAAAATGCCCAGGGAGTTGATATTTGGCCAGTAGCATGCCTGAGTGAAGGGCTACCAAGTTTGTTCAAATGAATGACCTTCAATTATATTCAAGGTCACAGGGGTCAATTGTATTAAAAAAAAACTTTAAACAACTTCTTCTGAATAAACAAAATGCTCAGGGTGATGATATTTGGCCAGTAGCATGCTGAGATGAAGGGCTACAAAGTTTGTTCAAATGAATGACCTTCACCCATATTCAAGGTCACAGGGGTCAAATATGTTAAAAACTTTAAACAACTTCT